CTTTTGACCACTCGAATGAATCAACATTGATGGTTATTAGCTCCTTCTATTCGGGTACCCTAGTATTGGTCTCTGACGGTAGCCCCCGAGCCCCCGGGTGATTCAGGTAGAATCGCCTGGGGGATTTTTTGACTTGCTAGTGGGTGCACGTGAGCGCACCCAGTGGGTGTAGCCCTTGAGCCTATGGAGTAGAATACTACTTTGGAGGTTTTTTCGAAAGGGAGGACTCTGAGGGCCCTGGCCTTCTTTTGTCGCCCATGGCGTGTCCTGGGAATGGTGATTCCTTCTTGCCGAGGTCGGACCCATCATGGGTATGGCCATGAGATTTGGTGGTTCGTTAGCTAGATAGTTCGATTGGGATCTTGGCATCCCATTCGCAAGGATCCGGCTGGGGTCAGCCTGGCTAAGACTCGATCGTGGGCCGAGATGCCCGTGGCACTCGTGTGCCTGGGTATTGGCCGCTTGCGGGCCCATCCCTTTCCATCCCTTATTGTAAGGGTGCCTGGAGCAGCTGTTGAACCCGTTGATGGGCCAACCGATGAACTCCTAGGCCTAGACGAGCCGTAGAGGTGTTTTTTGATCCATATTCCTCTTACTTTGTAAGGAGTCGTGGCCCGCCCGGGGAGGCAAAATGTCCGATGAGTCTTTCGAGTGAAAGGATAGGGATTGCGTGCGCATATCCCACGGCGTGACGTTGTGGCAGATCGTGGCAGACATGGAGATCTAGGCGAACGGTTAGTTTCCTCGCATTCGTTGCCCCTATAAAACCAAAGGGTTTGCCCCCAGGGTTTCATACCTTGCCTTGTTGCCTTCACATCTGCAACCTCCACCGCCAATCGCCTAGGCTTCCTGCATCTGTGTCCCAGCCACCATCAAGCTCGCATCCACCCGCGACCATCTTCCAATGGATCTATGGTGCCGCTCTGACATCACCTTCCAGCGCATGGAGGGCCTCATCCATCACGGTCTTTTCTGCGCGTGGACCGCTGCTGAGGAGTGGCTACTGTCCAGTGAGGAGGACATGCCATCGCCGCCTGACAGCTACGTGGTGTCGTTCGTGCACTTTCATGAGCGCGGGTTCGCTACCCTTGGTCATATATTTCTTCGGGGGCTACTGCACTACTACAAGATCGAGTTGCGGCACCTCAATCCCAACAAAATCTAGCACATGGCGGCGTTCATCACCCTGTGTGAGGGATTCCTGGGGATCAGTCCCCACTTTGATCCGTGGTGGCACTTCTTCACCGTCACCCTCTAGAAGAAGAGGGGGAAGAGCAGCAAGCAGGAGCTGCATACGACGATGGGATGCGCCGGCATCCACCTCCAGAACAACCAGGTCAGCGAGTACCTATCGATGTGGCTGTTGACCTCCAAAAAGGGGTGGCATTCGTAGTGGTTTTATCTCAAGAATGACGCTGCCGCCCCCCTGCCGGAGTTCACCGGGTGCCTAATCAAAGATGCCCTTGATTCATGGAGGAAGTGGGGTGTCCTAGAGAAGGACAAGAAGAAGATCCGGGACCACCTTACCACCATCCGCATCCTAAAGGAGAGGGGCCTAAAGGGGCCGGGCATCATCAGGGCCTACCACGCGAGGAGGGTGGCGCCGTTGATGAGGCGCGCGCTTCCGCTGTATGCGATGGCGCCTGAGGCATCATTCGTTGGGACGACACTTGCCGAGGGAGCGCTCTCCCCCTCCGAAGTCGAGCAGCGCATTAAGGAGGCGATGGAGCCTTCGCGGGACGACGCGGGCGCCCCCCTTGATTTTGTGTACCCGATGCTAGGGCATCCTCCGATGTGGCCGAAACCAGGCTACGTCATCTTCGTAAGTTTTCCCCTCCTCATGCCTTCTCTTCAATTAATCTCCTGACCTCTTAATACTAACATTGAGATGGGGGGATCAGCCGAGGGACCTCGTCCTCATGGATCACCCGGCTCCTTTGCCGAGGGATTCATCCATGAGGGTGGTGAATCGCGCCGAGGGTGAGCGGCTTAGGAAGGTGAAAGAGGACAAGAGGAAGAAGAGGCAGCAGAAGCTACGGGCGTGGGAGCGAGGGGAGGACACCGACAACGACGACGATGATGATGAGGTAGTCGACAACACCGAGTGGGATGACTTGGAGAGCGAGGATGTGCTGACAAGTATCTACTCATCCTTGCAGGAGTCGGGACCCTTCCCATTCCATGGAGGGGAGGGCGCATCCGTGGGGCCAGTGGAGACGGGCTAGACCGTTAGCCTGCCCCAAGAGCCAACAGGGGCCGACGGATCTACCGCTGTGCCCGAGGTGCCAGTGGAGGAGGGTGGCTCCATCGTCGCGCCCCAAGATGCAAGGGGAGTGAGCCCCTCTGCCCAGGAGCAGGGGGCGGGCTCGAAACGACCTCGCCCCGATGAGGCAGAGCATAGGTTTGGGGGTTCGCCCCCTAAACATATCTGCCGCCCAACAGCGCCGATGTAAGTCACCAGATCCTTTGTTTTTCTCTGTTTTCATCGTGACTTATGCTTTTTGTTCCTTGCAGCGTCATGAGGTGGCGTAATCCTTTGGCGCTGGCGCCAAAGAAGAGCGTCGCCCTTCAAGCGGGGCTGCAGCCATCGGTTGGCGTCGCACCCATTTCGGACAGGAGTGGCGTCGGTGTGACTACATCACCGGCCGGTCAGGCGCCGCCCAAGGTGGCGCCCGTGCCTTCGGTAGGACAAGTGGGCACAGGGGCTCGAGGGATGCCTTCGGAGGTCGCTGAGAAGCTGGCGATGGAGGTGATACCACTGCCGATGATGGGACGGACGGAGCTGCTGACCGCGCTCGTGGCGTCGACCATGGCGGGCACAACATAGCCGGTTGAGGCCCTACCAATGTAGGTGGAGGTGGCGGTGACTATGGCAGGTGGGCCATAGTAGGAAACAACCGTGGCATCGCCCGAGGCAGCGGCGCGACCCATGCCAGCGACAGCCCAAGCAACGGCGCCCAACGTGGGCCAGACGGAGGGGGACGCGGCCGAGGGGTCCTCGGACATTGTGGTGGTGGCAGAGAGGACCGGCGGGGAATCATCCCTGACCTTGACATCAGGAGGCAGCGACTAGCCCGCGTGGGGTGAGCCCCTGCTACGGTGGAAAAATCCGCAGGAGCCGACGTCGATGCTCTTCACCCTCGACGATGCCACCGAGAGCATGGAGAGGGAGAGCCTCGACGCGGGGATCGCGTCAGCGCTGGAAGCTTTGGACCATGCCAGGGATGCCCTGCGCGACGTCATCGTTCCCACTGGCCAGGTATTCGCTTGATCCTACCTCTCGCCCTCTTCTTTCTTTATGTTTTTTTTGTGTTGTGACCATCATCTCCTTTCAGTCCCTTATTGCTCACAACCAGGAGAAATCTTGGTTCCTTCATGAGCACAAGGAGAACTGGGACTGCCTCATCGAGGAGGCATGGCTGCGTGGGGATGTGACTGCCTAGCTCGTTGCCGCCCAGCAAAGGGTGGACGTGCTGACTCCCCTTGTTGAGGAGGTGGACAGTCTCTGATCGTGAGTGGCCAAGGCCCATCAGCATGCGAACGAGGCCGAGAGGACGTTCGAGGCCCTATCGGTGAGATCATGAAAGGACAATGAGGAGGCCGCCAAGGTCAGGAGGGAGCGGGACGAGCTACTCCAGAAGGACGCCAAGACCCACCGGCAGATCCTCGACCTTCTGGTCGAGGTTGAGAAGGAGCGGGAGCTGAAACTGGGAGCCAAGGAGAAGCTCGTGGCCCTAGAGAGAAGGGCGAGTCTGGATGCCGAGGTGGTCGCCTAGCTGCGCAAGGAGCGGGACAAGCTACTCCAAACCGCGGAGAGGCTCCGTTCAGAGCGTGGTGCGGCCCGCGAGGAGCGCGACCAGGCCCTCCGAGAGCACAACGACACACAGCAGAAGGTCGGCTCTCTCTAGGCCGAGCTTGGAACCACGATGACCCAGAGGCTAGAGGCCAAGGGCGTCTCTGCAACAAAAAAACAAAGTAGTCCATACATCCCTTAATAGTACGACCAAAGAAAAAATAAAGTTCTAAACTATTATAAGTGTCTCTCCAACACCAAACGACACTTATAACTAGTCCGTCCTTAATCTTGTCATCCATCTTTTAAAAACCGAAACAATTTTCATCGACAGGGACATGACAACCATGATTGCCCAATCAATTTTCATTACGATGACCTTACTCAAATTATGTGTCCAAAACACACGTTAGTCATAAACTCCAGTCGAGGATTCCCGCTTTTGGCTCCCTGTGGCAGTCCTGGCGGCCTCCTTCGACGAACGATCCAAGAGCTGGGATAGCGGATGGTCGTGGAGACCCGCGCGTACGAGCCTCCGCATGGCTACTATGTCGATAGTTTAGCCGCCGCATGCTGTTCATGCTCGGCCACAGGCCCACAAGCGCTGCTGCGGCTGCGGTCCAAGACTCAAGTTTCCGACCTCGCGCCGAACTGAGTTGAGCGTCACAGAATGCAACATCTACATGTGAGTTCATTATTTCAATGTGGCAGTATTTGCGAAGACGAGAACTTCTGATAGTATTTTACGATTCTCGTATCAGACTACAGAACTAATTGCCGCTCACTTATTTATTCCGCCAGTTTTTTCTTTTCATTGATGAGTTGATGACAGATTCATGCAACTGAGTCTACTAAGCAGCTGACAGCGAAAGAAGATGCCATGATAGCTGACAAAGTGGAACGACATAAACTATTAAGTTGGTCACTTATATTATAACAGTGAAGACTCAAGAGGAACCATGTGGATGTGTCTCGCCAAACACAGGATCACACGATGGTGATAAGTCCCTAGAGTCTAAGGTGAAAGGAAAATTGGCTTTGGAATTTATTCTCAACCCAGCATAATCAAAGCTCATACTATTTACCATTCTCAATCCAGTGTGAGAATCTTGATATGCCCACAAATCGTAAAGCAATGAAAAATAGGAAACTGAGCAACACTCCATCATATTCTAAACTTCAGAATATTCTTCCACACATGTTTTTGTTAACTGTTATCCATGCCAATTGGCAATTGCCCACCCTGCAGCTGTTTTTCCCTAATAACAGTGTTGATTTGCTGATCGGTGATCAGAGAAGCACATTTATGCCGGTTGTTATAGGCTTACTGAATGTATGATGTGCCACATGTTCAGATACAAAAACACTATAGTAGCTTGTTCTGTTGCATCTACTTCTCTAAGGTTGGTATGTAGCTAACAGCACAAAGCAATTGAGAATCAGCAAAATGGTATGATTCTCCAGTCTCACCTAACGTGCCCAAAAGATCCGTGGTGAAGAAAGCTGCAAGAGCACAGTGGAGATGCAAGTGCTTGACACCAAGAATGCTACGTTCCTCGGGCTCGCTTGTGGTTTGAACTCACATCATCTCTAATCCCTTTGCCTGTCACTGCATACGGTGCTGAGGCTACTGGAAGTGAAGGAGATTTATCAAGGCATGCGTATCTTTCATTCCCATTCCAGTACAGAATCACCCGGTTCGCGCATGAGTGGGACCAGCTGTCACCTGCATAACAAGGTCATTATCTTATCATGGAATAATCGGTTCAAGTGTCCAGTGCCCATGAAATATTCAGAAGAAATACGTCACTGAATAGAAGAGATAAGCTACAGTCACCCATCTACTTGAAAACCTTTTTTTTTCTTTTTTCTTTTTTGGCAAACATTCATCCAAGGTCACTGGAGAAAAAAATGTAGCTATTGTCATAACGTGGACACTATCAGAACTATAACCAGTTTATCAATTTATAGGAACTTAGCCTGTAATACCAGTTTCTTATAAAACAAACAGAGGAATAAATGCAGGGGAGTGGGGTTACTGCAAAGGTAGGAAAATGTGGATCTTGTTGGACACGATCTCCAGGTGGGTCGCGGGGAGGAGGGGGGGGTTGCATTTACTTTTGTACAAAAATATTGATGACACAAACATGGATATAAATATGAATGACTGAAAAGAGATCATGGCACCTCCGTCCCCTATGGGAGCTTATATGGAAATCATGGGCACCTAAGAATGTCAAATTTTCCTATGGCTAGCAGCTCATAATAGGGGTTGGACTGCTGATAGACTTGCCTGCAGAGGGCTGCCTCATCCAAATCAGTGCCTTTTATGTGATCAAGAGCAGGAGACAATTCAACAAATTTTGAAAAATTGTGTCTTCTCTTGACAAGTTTGGTATTTACTCATGTGCCTATCTCATTTACGGATCTCTCACCACGAGTTGAGGATGAGGTATTCTGTGATTGGTGGCTTCGGAATAATACTTTAATTCCAGGACATTGGAAAAGTGGAGTAAGCTTGTTGATCTCCTTGGGAGCATGGGTGATTTAGCGACATAGAAATGAGTGTGTTTTTAATGGTGCTGCACCAAGTGTCCAAGTTGTTCTTAGAAGAATTTTTTTTAAGGGAGTCTCTGGTGTATGGCTGGTGCAAAAGGTTTGGCACAGCTTGTGGCACTAATTGTAGTGGAGCCACAAGATTGCGGTATAGATTGAAAGTTATGTACATTACATATGATACAATTATACAAAAAACACAACAAGATTTTCAGTTTTTAGTGTATGATTTGCCTAGATAATTTCATCCACCTACATTATCACGGCACCAAAGTTTTGGCTGCAATTAGTAAAAGCTTGCCCATATGCATTTCAGCCGTTTTGACTTAGTCACTGGAAATGTGTGCCCAGAAATAGAACAGAAAGGCAACCTTGATAACATAAGCACATAATTTGGAAATTTTTATTGCTACTTTCCTGCTGCTCTGTGAACAATAAAGACCACAAGCATCCAGTACTGATTTGAAGATGAAGGAATGGAGGATTATACTTCTATGACACAAAACTGACCTAGAGCAAGAGTCAATTGAAATGACCCTTCTGTAAATTTAGTAGTGACTTGGTTCAACAAGACAACCTGCTGAGCAGAATAAGATAAATATGTTAGCCTCATGAAATAGGTAACATACAGTCAGAATTAATAACCTTCATACACATGATGGGTAACTTACTGCCAAGTTATATGTCTTTGCAATCTTCATTAACTTCAATGATAATCCACTTAGCACTCTAGTCCTCAGTGCCAGATCTTCAAAATCTTGTCGAAAGTGGAAAGTAACACTATCAATAACAACTATACGCACCTGCAAAGTAGATAGCCAAATCTTTACTTTTGAACACAAGGTCAGTTGGAGTACATTGGAAAACTGGGAGAGAAAAAACTAGTGTTATAATGTCCTGGTTGCAAAGAAAAGGTAAAGTATCAAGATAAAAAAGATCAACAACAGAACAGAAATAGTTGTGTTAAAGTTAGACTTGAGAAGTCAACTGTTGAAGAAACTCACATCTTTATGTTCTCCGAGGAACTTTTCCAGGTAGTTTATGACTGCAATTTGTTCGGTGTAACTGCATATTCGGAAGTAATAGATGTCCACCAGGAAATGCTCAGGCTGTAATTGTTTTTGGCCAGAAGAGGACTTCTCATGGCTGTGTGGAAAGTGCTCCAGTATGTCCCTGATACACCCTTCAGCAATCTGGTAGACACGTTCAACCATGAAACTGCCCTCTGTATCTGTTATGATGAAGACAACTGCTATTAGGCTTTCTCAGTAAAGCACTAGATGATATGTATTCCTGTGTGAAGCTATTTACCGATATAAACTGCTTTCCCACCAAGGCCACCATATTCCACTGGGATTTGTACATTTATTGCTAGTTGAATCCTGAAGAAAAGATCGTATTTAGTAGGAAGATCTGCTGCACTTGTATTCATTAGTAACTACAACATACCCCAGTTGAGTTTTACCAACCCCTGGGACACCACCTGAATAAAATTAGTACTGTGCATTAGGTCAGTCGCTTCAGATACATCAACTGAGAGAATCAAAATTATGTAAATTACTTGATAGAGGGAAATTGAGGGCATTTTCTGATCTCTGAACGCGAGGAGCAAAGCATGATAGAACAAGAGACACACTAAGCTCTACGATTCTTCAGAATAGCACAAAAGTTTGACAGATCATCACTAGTAGACATGAAGCAAACAAAAGAAGCACAGGTTACATATACCTAGCTAATTGATTAAAAAATTGCCCAATAGCTCCTATTTGATCCTTTGTTAGGAACAGTATTAGAAAGTAAACTAACCGATCTCAGTAACTTCTTTGCAGTGAATCCCGCCACCAAGTAAGTCATTGAGGTCACCAGAACCAGTAGTAGTGTGTTTCTGTGACTGCTCGTCAGAGAGCATATCCCAAGCATTCTGGGCCCCTGAAATGTAACAGCATCAGGATACGGACTTTGTTGTGGTCCATTTCTAGAACCTTCAGAACATCAAATAAACCAGCAAAAGTCAGCAGCACAAGGGTGGGACACACAGTTTTGGTGTACATCAATACTTCTTTCGCCAAAATTCAAAATTAGTGGGTATGGATTGTGATATAGATAATGTATATACCAAGGTTTTAAATCTCCAGCTAAGCTTCTTAGCTGTTGTCTGCAGCTAAGCTATTTAGCTATTTTTACAAGAAATAGGAAAAAAACACAGAACCTTGGCATAACCTAATAACCATTACTAATTGATTCATCACCTTTACTACTTGAAAGCGTAGATCATATGCGAAGTCTAAAAATAAGCCACAATAAAACTAATTAACTAGTTCAACAAGCATAGATCTTAATCTTTACTAAAGATGTCCAAAACATACAAGCAAAAGATGAGAATGCAATGTGAACAGAGAAGAAACTTGCCAGATTGCTCTCCCATGGTGATTGCCACTTGGAGTTGGTGGTGCTGATTGGGGAAGAAGAGAACTGGAGTGGGGATTTCAGTATCTCACAGCTGCCGACCCGTCGTAGCCGCCTCCGCCACCGCTCGTAGCCGCCGCCGCCACTGCCGCTTGGGGAGAGTCGTGCCGCGCCGCCGTCTCCGGTCCACCGCCGCCTTCGGGGATCCGGGAGGCACAGAGTGCGAGACAGTCAAGTGGGAGAGAAGAGTGTCTGGGCTACACGGTTCGGAGGAGGCTATTTGGGCCGCTCGGTAGACCGTCTTCTGGCCCATCGATTTTTAGCTGCCGCCAAATGAAGGTCCATTTTAGCCACAAATAATTTGCATAGTACCATTAGGAAAAAGTCCAACTCCCTCAACTTTTTACGAAAGTTTGCTTTTTCATCCTGAAATCTAAAACCGGATAAACCATCTCTCAGAACTTTTAAAACCGTTCGTTTTGCCTCCCAGACCGGTTATAAGCTGATTTCAAAGGCGGTTTTGTCTTTTTCTTTTTTATTTATTTCGATTGAATCTTTGAAAAATCATAGTAAATCACAGAAAAATTATAAAATAAGAATCCAGATTTATAAATATTTTATAACAAGCATACACCTATAACTAAGTTATACATGATCCAATGAATATGAAATTTTTACTATAATTCAAGCATACAATGGCTAACCATAAAAAATTCACCTCAATTGGACCATATAAACTGCAGCTATAAATTAATTATATAAAAGTATAGATCTAAAGCTACAATAAAAAAATTATACTAAAGCATCCCATATTATATGTTCATTGTGTAGATCTACTCATGTGTAGTCTAATAAAATTGGATTTTTCATTTTATGATTTTTTCTGTGATTTACTATGATTTTTCTGTGATTCAGCCGAAATAAATAAAAAAGAAAAAGACAAAACCCCTTTGAAAACCGCTTATAACCTGTGGGAGGTAAAACGAACAGTTTTAAAAGTTCAGGGAGGTGATTTACCCGGTTTTAGAGTTCAGGGAGGAAAAATAGACTTTCGTAAAAGTTGAGGGAGATAATGTGGACTTTTTCCGTACCATTACGAAAGTGTTTGCCGAAACACACGACTTATTATTTTATTTATTTTTTAGATTTTAGAAAAAAAAGTTTGAGGAAATATCTTTTTTAGCCTCCTGGTCGCGCCGCTGCCTCCTAGTCGTGAACTCGTGCCGCAGCTAGATGGCCGCACCGTCGCCTGGTGTCTCGTGAGCCATGGGAGAGAAGAGAGAGTCGTGGTCTCGTGGAAGCACAGAACAGAGAAATAAGAGACTGCTATGAGGAGAGAAGAGATAACCTGGTTTCCAAACCCCAAGTTTCCAATATATATGCTAGCTAATGGGTTTTTTGGGCTTCGGACCTCTTAAGATGTCCATCTCTGAAATGGCGCCTCCATATTCATGGTATATCCATTCCCTATCATCATCACCACTGTTTCTAAGCACATATGAAATACCAATATTATGTTGTAACCAATTATTAGTTTTACCATTATGCAAATATAGGAACGAGCTCACCTTATAATCAATGGTCGTATCCGAAGGTGTTATGTCCTCATCAGTGCATGCTCTAGTATAGGATGCAGTAGCTAGTAGGGCACCACACAATGCTGCATTTGGTATGCACCCATTGGCAAATATTTGTGTTTGTATCAGTGCATTGTAGTTCCTTCTATTGGATCTTTCTTTTATTTGGGAAAAATAATGTTGAAACCATGAGATAGTTCAGATTCAGGTTATGAGTTCATAGTTTTAGTTTTTTAAGCAATTGTGATCACAGTAAAGAGTCCTAAGCAATGTGCAGGTTTAGGCCAATGAACTCTGACGCTAAGAGTCCATAGGCTTAGGTTTGCATTTGTCTGGACATAGCTAATCTGATGATGCTAGCATATGATTATTTACGCACTCCTGTGTTAATGTGCATGTGAGAATATATGATATGATAAATTTTTAGGGGGGTTTGGGGGGTGAGTAGGCCAAGGTTAGAACATAGCACCTGATTCCTTAATATTTGTAGATGAGAGTAGTCATTTTGGTATTTTGGAATTTTTCTTCCATGCAGCTTGACCATATATGTCATGCTAATTGCAATAGGAGTATATTAAAGAATGCTAGATAGGTCTTATGTTCCTTCTAAGGGTGCCCGCGTGTTGCTACAGGTATACAAAACATCTTATGACATACATTCGCACGAGTAGAAATCTGGCAAGAAAAAAGACGTGTTAGAAATACTATAATCAACATGTTTCAATTATGGCCCCGTTTGGCAGGGCTTCACTTCACTAGTGAAGTCATTTTTTTTGGCTTCAGCTCCACGAACAGCTCCACCGGTGGAGCTGAAGCGGTTTTGGTAAACCGTTTGGCAAAATGGCTTCCCTGTGAGAGCATATTTTTAGGAGCCTAGAGGAGGAGCCGGAAGAAGCCACTATTTTTGGCTCCTTCCCACCCCAAAGCTCTATGAGAGCACGTTTTTAGAGGCTTCATCGGTGGAGCCGTTTTATTTTACCCCGTTTGGCAGAAAACGGCTCCTAAAGCCGCTGGAGAAGCCCTGCCAAATGGGGCCTATATATAATCTATACATCCAATCAATAACATGTCAACAAGTCATAACTACTTGTATCTCATTTCTTTCCGACTTCCTCTATTACCTAAAATTCAGATGGATACAAAAAAATATTAGTAATAAAGGACAGAAATATAAGAATATAACAGTTATGCAAAACAGAAGACAATACCTTTTCATGGAGTGAGGACCTCTTTATAGACAATATTTTTCGTGTATGTACCATTTATTTTTGTCTTTTTTTTTCTTATCCTTCTTTATCACTAGGTGGGATAGCAAGGATCCTAATGTTCGATCTGGCAGTGGCTCTAGATAGCGCAACATACAACTGACCATGAGAGAACATCAGTTCAGGCAAATACACACCAACATTGGGGATAGAATTTCGCAAGCGCACAGAACTATCATGTAGCACTTTGCTCGGTGAGTACCGATTGCCGAATTTATATTTTCCCACATGAAGGCGGAAGGCTAGAATTTATATTTAGACTAAGAATTGCTAAGGTAAAGCCTAAGTTAATCCTAGGTAGGTGAACAATAGTGAAAGGTGAATGTGAACTACTTAAACTAACTACTAATAACAAGGTAAACTAGAGATAGCTCGGTGGGAGAGCGAAAGTTTTATCTTTCTAGTAACTAAGATAAACAAATGACTAGGAGAAATGCGATAGTACTTTGAGGCATAGCCCGTCTACCAACTAGGAGAGTTAAATAGATAAGGTCTGCCACGAGCCCTACGATTTAATAACTAGACCTATCGTGGTGGAATACAGAGGATGGACAAGGCTGTCACCACTTGCCACCTACCACAATCTATCTGGAGGCCTAGCCATATCTACATGTAATCTATAGCCTAAGCACCATGCTTAGTCTATAGGTTTACTACTTTGATCCGAGCTCCGTTGAAATGAGATCAAAGTACCCTAACAAGACGGTCGAACCGGTACTAACGAATATCTACTAATTAAGAGATAACCTCTGCCATTAATGTCAAACAACAAGCACCTAAGCTCACTAATGATGAACACTAATGACTAAGTACTTAAAGTAAAGCAAAGCAATAATACTAGAATAAAGTACTTAAATAAATACTGAATAAACTAAATGTTGAAATGAAAGAATTACAAGGAGCTATACCAGACCTAGAAGACTCTTTCGGACTACCAGACCTAGAAGACTCTTTCGAACTTTGAGAGCAGCTCTGCTTTTGATCTACTCCATTACTAGACTACTACTCTATAGCTAAGCCAAGCTAAAAAGCTAAGAGAAGCTTGGAGACCTTGGAAAATGAATGGGGCACTTCTCCACCGAGCTCCACACCCTCTATTTATAGTGTAGAGAGGTATAGGGGGTACTTATAGGAAGCAGGGAGGTCGGTGGGGGTAGGGGGTGTCGAGCTGCGGCATAGGGGCGCCGATCGGCCCTTGGATGCACCGCCTTTGCATCCAACGGTGCTGGCTGGCTTCAAATGGCGGTTGTGACGCCAGCATGTGCCAAAACTCGGCCGGTAAGGTGGTTCCAAGGTCGGTTGGAGCCTCCAAGTGTATGACGATGGGCCGGTGGATCTGCGTCAACTCCATCTCATCCATCGGTGCAAATTGACTTGAATCAATTCTTGACGTTGCTTCTGGAGTAGTTCCTACGGATCACTAACGTGGCAAAGTGCCAAGGTGGCACTTGTTGGGGCCCGGCGGTGCCCAAGTGGGGCTGAGCGGTGCTGCCTTGTGGGCCTAGGTGGCCCTGCCACATCCACTTGCTTCCTTGGTCCATGTTTGTCACCATTTTGACCTATTTTTGCCATATTTTCTGCATACAAATAATTCTACAAGCACAAGTGGAACTAGGTGAATTATAAACAAAATTGTACACATGTGATGATGATTTACCTTACTTTATCATGCTTTTGGGTGGAATGTTGATGGTCAAAATGGGTGTTAATGACCGTCAACAAGCTCCCCTAAGCTACCCCTTTGTTGTCCTCAGCAAAGATGCAGGTTTAGCATGGAATAGGTGTTGGATCAGGAGTTGCTACTACGTAACGCCCTGCAAAGACTTGTATACAAAAAATACTATCTTTTGAGTTTAACATGTTAGTACTTAGAAATTTCACCATCAGTCTTAGCAATGTGGGACTTATAGCTTTCACCTTGACATAAGCAATTGCAAGAATGTGTAGCTAGATAGATACTTTTTTACTTACTTTGGGTTAGCTCAAACTTCCTAGAGGTTTTCAACAGATTTGAAAAGAAATCTTGTCTAAGTTCCTCAGATGGTACACTCAAGTCACTCAATGGTGTTTGAAATCCTCACCAAGGCCATGAAATTTATCCTTAATTTCTATCCTAAAGCTTATGTGGAGCTCAAGGTAGGGGGTAAAAGCATAGCTTACTTGAATTGAATATATTGCTAAGTCAAACACTTGGATCACAAGGAGCAACAAATCATACAAATTGATCAAGATGTGCATGTGTGTGGTATGTTTGGTGGAAGTGGTACTCCTTTGAGAAGTTTCTCTTCTCTAGCTTCTTTTTGAGAGGGCATGGCTACTTTCTTTTTCTCACTCACTCTCTCTTTTTAATACTAGAGCTTTTTACTCTTTTATTCTTTCTCACTTTTTTTTTCTGTAGCCCATGCCTCTCTTTTTGATGTAAGATAGCTAGAGAGGTAACTTTGATTCTCATAGAGTAATAATGAATGGAAAGCATATGTGGTTGCGTATCCCCAGTGTAGGAATAGCATAAATATGTGGGTGTATGTGATCTTAATCAAAAAGCATAAAAAGTTTCTCTACTCAGATCAACAAGGCTTGAAAAAACTCAAAACTAAGAAGCAGCTTTTATGGTGGCTTTATGATGTATGAATGAATTTATTTGGCTCTGGTAGGAATTTATCACCCTTGAGGAACTTCTAGCAAGAGAGTTTTAGCATTTTATAAAACAAAACTCTAGGTTTTTTTACCATTCCTCAGATAGGTTCAAAGATTTACTCTAATCATGGCTACAACATATCTCACAAAAGCTTATTCTTGGTTCTAGCATTTGCAACCCACGAAAGCATTCAACTTAAGATGAACTCTAAGTTTATCATGCTCAAAACTTAAGAAGTATAAGGTTGTATAACAAGCTTTTACAATATATCACAGAGCAATTATTCCTCATCTCCAAATTTTATCATCATGTTATTGGAGCAGAGTTTCTCTCGAGATAAATTTAAGGCACTCATCTCTACATTCTATGATCATGAATATTGAAATGTAAAGTAAACATGAATGTAAAGAGAGGGTTTAAGATTTTCATACCTGAGCGGGGAGAGATATCTCCCCCAAGTTTGCCTTTTGCATAGGTTGGAATGTCTTTTGGTGGCTCTGTTGATTCTTTTCTTTATTGACTAACTAATACTACTAGAATGCATAAATGACTAAATAACTAAACCTATTACTACTAGATAATTGATTTAGTATGAATACTACTGATTTTTTTTCATATGTTGTTTTAAATGCAAATCTATCCTATCATGCATTAGCTACTACAAAACTTTATTCATTAACATAGAGTAGCTAAATGCAACTAACCTATCATGCAATGCAAATTTATTGGAAATCTAAATAAGATGCAACTAATGAAATGTGGTAATTAAATGCAAGGGATAGAAAACT